GGGGCAGGCGCTGCAGTGCGGACCCTGCTCTCCCAGCCCTGCAGCTGAGCCGGTGCTTCATCCCACAGGCGTTCCTGAGGCCCGAGCTGCTGGGGAAGGAGTTCACACACCTTGAGTTCCCCCGCAGGATCCAGCCCAAGGAGCTGGGGAAGAAGATGCTGTACAGAGACCAAAACATGAACGGCTGGTAACGCCCCAACCCGCCTGGCAGGCTCCGTGCCGAGGGGCGGCGCTGGGGTCCGCCTGTGCCCGGCCACCCGGCTCCGGCATCCTTTCCCGCGGGGTGGGGGGCTGTGACGTGCTGGGTGCCCGGGTCTTGAAGGGGCCTTGTCCCTGGGGGATGCTGTGTCCCAAGCGGGCAGTGGCGGTGCTGGAAGCCACCACCTGCTGACACGTTGTCCCTGGCTTGTTTTAACCAGGGCTTACAAAAAGATAGAAGAGGACGACCTGAAATTTCCACTTATCTACGGGGAAGGCAAAAAGGTGAAGTGCTGTGGCAGGAGCTGCGTGGGGGTTGCTTCCCATCTGCCCTCGCTGAATCAGGGGTTTCCAGCCTGTTTTTGCTAGTGCTGTCACTGCTCCAATGCTGATTCTCAGCTGGGAATGGAGGTGGAGATGAAGCATCTTAAAGTTTTCTTTTGATTTTGCCATTCTCCAGGCTCGGGTGATGGCCACGATTGGGGTCACGCGGGGCCTGGGAGACCACGACCTCAAGGTGTTCAGCTCCAACATCCACATCAAGCCTTTCCTGTCCTGCTTCCCGGAGGTGAGCCTGGCTGCCGGCTGCTCTGCGCCCGGGGGTTCCTGCAACAGCCGGAGCCAGTCGGGGTGACCAGATCCATGGTGTGCCCAGTGCAGCGGGAGCCTCCTCTGCCTCTCTGCCCTTCACCCTTGCATCTTGCCCTGTTGCTTGCCAGGTCAGGGTTTACGACCTCACGCAGTACGAGCACTGCCCCGATGATGTTCTTGTCTTGGGCACCGACGGGCTCTGGGATGTCACCAATGACAAGGAGGTGGCTGGCGTGGTGATGGAGGTGCTGACGAGCTACGAGCCCAACGACCCGTGCAGGTGAGCTGCGAGTGGGCAGGGGGGACGAGCGTGTCCTGCACTCTGACACCTCCCCTTGGCCTTGCTCCTTGGAGCGGTGTCGTGGCCATGCGTCCCTCTGGCCTCGGGGCTGGTGCTGTTGCTCCGCAGCGTGCAAAGCTCCCCGGGATGTGCGTACCTGAGCTCGGATCTCTCCTCTCCAAAGGACCCTTTCCTGCACCTCTGGCTCCTCCAGCTTCTCCTTGTCAGGGACTGCGGGGTGCTGCATCAGGGGGTCTGTGGGGTCTGGGGTCACTGCTGAGCCGTGCTGTACTGTGCCCCCCAGGTACACCATGGTGGCCCAGGAGCTGGTGATGCGGTCCAGGGGGGTGCTGAAGGAGCGGGGCTGGCGGCTGGCCAACGACAAGCTGGGCTCCGGCGATGACATCTCTGTCTTCGTGATCCCTCTGGGTGGCCCGGGCAACTACACATGATGCCCGGTGTCCCCCAGGCAGCGGGGCTCGCCTCGCCTGGGTGGAGACGAGCAGGACACTGGCGCTACCTCGGGGCCACCTCTCCCTCAAGCACTTGTTCCCTGAGCCAACCACGAGAAGAGTAAGAAACCTGGAGCCTGTGCCCCTGCCCAGAGCATCCCCCTCCACCTGCTGCATCCCGGCCTCGGGTGGAGAGGGAAGGGCCTTGGACAGAGAGTGGGGACTGGGGTCGGGGGGTGTTTTTTGTGCTGCCACTTTCTTGATTGCTGTGAAAAGCCTAAAGGCTCCCTGGCTTCTCGGTGCGACCTTTGCACCTTGCCCTGGGCCTGGGTGTGCTGGTTCATCGGGCCAGTGGGGCACTCGTCCCGGGAGAAGCGTGTGCCTGCTGCTGCGATCATCTCCTGTCCCCCTGCCCTGTGACACTTGCACCAGCGACACCAAAGCTGCTGTTGGGGCTGGGCGCTGGGGCTAGGATGGGCCATGGCAGAAGTCTGTTTGTGGGTGGCGTGGTGGTGGGTGGGCCCGACGACTGACATCCCACTTCGTGCTTGCCCTCTCCAGCCCCTCACGCCTTCGCCTCATCCGCGTACCTTGTCGTAGTCTCCACTTTGGGAGGATGGGGCAGTGCTTGGTCACAAGAGCCCTGGGAAGGAATGAGCTATCGCACTTGCACTGCCTCTGCCGTGGGTTCTGCCCCCACCCCTCTTCATGCCTTGGATCACTGCTGTGTTTCTGGAGCCAATTATTTATGATTAACTGGAGAGCTGAGCTGGAAAATGTCTAAATCCTTTCTTGGTGTGGGGAGTCTGTATGAATGTGTATCTATATTTTTGAGCAGTTCTAAGTTGGCCACTGCTGAGCAGCAGTTGCACACAGAGCAGCCCTATTCAGCCAAGCTTAACAGCTTAAATGTGCTGCCTGGATTTGCTTAGCTGGGGGCTGGAAACCCGCAATAAAGCGGCTTGGTCGGGGCTGGGGGGGGGGGGAGACAACTCCCCCCTTTTTCTTAATAGTCTCAAAGCTGGTGCTGAGCAGAGCTGTAGCAGCAGTTGATCTCTGCACAGGATCTTACTTCACATCACACGTACCTCTGACCTGGAGGATGCATTTCCTGGGCCTCGGCAGAGCATTGCATCCTCCCAAAACATAAAGGGATGGTCTCATTCTGGTCATGTGGGGATGGGGGGAGCTGGGCCATGGTCCCTTGTTTTGGAAAGGCTCTGTGGCACCAGTAGTTTGTGTCCTGCTGTCGCTGAGTGCAGCCAGCTCTTGTCAGGTGTCACCTCTGGTGAATGGTTTTTTTTGTCTTGCAATCAGTGAGATGTAAATAAACTGGGTGCAGTTAATGGGAAGTAAAAGTTATCCAGCGAGATTTTAACCTGTTGACATCTTCTGTGCTGAAGGGAGCAGGGAGTGATACTGGGGCCAGGAGCCTGTCCTTGTGTAGCGCTGTGTGGTTAAATAAGGTTTTGCCACTCGTAGTCCCACTTCAAAGTCTTTCTTGCAGAGCTCCTGCAAAGAAGACTTACCTAAAAGCCAATTAGCTGTGATTAATTTATGTAGGCAGGCTTGGCAGCAAATAGGCACAGGCAGGGCCATGTGAGCTGCTGTCCCTCTGCCCTTGGCACTGGCCGGACCCCGTGGAAGTGTCCTCCCTTGCCCAGGGGAGTGGGAGCCGCCGCCGTGCTGCCCGGGGGCTGCTGGCTGGGGGGCAGTGGCATGGCCAGCCTGATGGGGAGGGATTGCCAGGTGGGCCAGGAACCCAAAACAGGACCCAGCTGGCAAGCGCTGCCTTGGGCTTGGGTGAGGAGAAAGGAAAGGCCGGGTTTTGCTGCCCGGAGGGTCCCTCCTTCAGGGAGTGGGCTGGGCTGTGGATGGAGTTCTGCAGGTTGTGCTTCCAGGGACACGAATGTGCTGGAGAGGCAGGACCCTTGTCTGGGAGCTCAGGCATCCCAGCAGCAGCTACCCCCTGCCTCTAGGGTGGGCTGCCTGCCGGGAGCATCCCTGCTGTCCCCTATCCCCCTGTCTGCCACTCGGTACCCCTGGCGCTCCCCACGCTCACCCACGTTTTCCCCACACCCCCAGCTCTCCCCGCGCTTGTTTGCCCAGCCGTGGTCCCCTGCTGCGATGCTCTGTGTGCTGGTGGCTGAGAACTGGCTCTGCTTTTCCAGGTCGCTGCCTGGGAGCTGCTGGAAAAGGGAAGGAGGCAGAGGCTGCATTTAAAGCTTCCTCTGTGGTTCCCTTTTTTACTAAAGAAACATTTCCTTTGGAACCAGCTCCTGGCCCGGGGCTTGATAAATTAAGAAAAATTGTCTCCGAGCTCTTAAAATAGCAGCAGTTTATGAGCCTGGGTCTGGGCCAGGACCCTGGGGCTGCCTTTCCCTGGCTGAGCGACAGGAACTCGGCCCTGCAGCGGGGGAGAGCG